AAAAAAAATATTTAATTGGTGCTTGATTACAGGTTCAGAGGTTCAGTCCATTATCATCAAGATGGGAGCATGGCAGCATCTAGACAAGCATGGTGCAGGAGGAGCTGAGAGTTCCACATCTTCATATGCTAGGAGAAGACTGGCTTCCAGGCAGTTAGGATGAGGGTCTTAAAGCCCATGCCCACAGTAACACACCTACTCCAAAAGGGCCACACCTTCTAATAGTGCTACTCCCTGGGTCAAGCATATACAAACTATTACACAAACACATACACACATACACACACACACACACTAGATAAATGTAACTTTAAATTTATTTTAGTTAGAAAGGAATGCAGGTATAAAGCATGGAGGGAATGTGTAATAGTGTAATACCATTCTACAAAGGAAAACCAGTGATGAATGAAAGAGCACTACATTTTCCCAAGAAGTCTGTAAGCCTATAACCTTGGTAAGCATAATTTAAACAATAGTAATAAGTGGAGGTAGGGAAGTGAAGTACAGCAGAAGATACAAAAATAAAGACCTAGCAGGGAATTGTGATGTGCTCTGCTGTGAAAGCAAGCATCATAAACTTGATTCTCTGCCTCAGAGGACCAAATCAAGCTTTTGAAAAATTCTATTAAAAAAGCTGCAAAGAAAGAACTACACAAAATAATAATAACTATGTTCATACAGTTTGGTATCTCCCATAATTTTAGAATTTGCTGTAAATCTGTATTTATAACACTCAAGTAAAGCATAAATGCCAAGGCATTCATTTTTCACTTGAGTGTTATAAATACAAATTTAATGACATTCAGTCAATGTACTTCAAACAGCAAGGTCCAGGTTTATTGAGGGAATCTGTCTCAAAAAGACAAAAAGGCAGAGAATCACAGAGAAAGACATATAATATCACGACATGAACTGTGTCCTCCATATGCATATTTAAAGGCATGGGCTCCATACATATGGATATGCATAATGCAACATGTACAGATTTAAAAGTATAACAAAATAATAAAAAGAATGCCTTTTTTCCTGAAAGCAGTGAACATACTGAGATAACCTGACATTAATCCTTTCTTCATTTACAATATTAGAGAGATTTCTCTTAGCTATGAGTTAGATGAAAGGCAGTATAATTGACATGGTGCCAGTTGAAGGCATTAATCCTGAAGATAACAATACAGGCCTGCCAGTCAGCAATGTCATCAGGAAGAAAAGAAGAAAAGGTTGTCTATATTGAAATTATCTACATGTCTAGACTTTGATGTGTCCATTGACGAATTAACTTGTGAACAATCCCTAAAAAAATTCATTTTGTTGTTTCAGTTGGGTTCTTGCTTTGATTACTCAATCAAGTTCCCTGATATTTCTTTCTAGACATGCACAAAAACTATAATAGTCCTAATCTGTATTTTTGATAAATGCAAAACTGTTAAATACTATATTAAATTTAGAATTATCATGTCAATATTTTGTGACTTGAGACAAAATCACTTAAAAATAAATTTCCTTTATGCAACGTATGTTTGGATAGCATTTAGTAATTCAAATAAATCCACAAATGTCATTTCTAGTTCCAAAATACCTTTATTATCTCCAAAGAGACCTCCTTGCCATTAACAACCCACCCTGAGTCCCTCCCCTCAGCTCCTAGCAATTGCTAAGCTGTTTTCTGTCTTTACAGATTTGCGTACTCAGTATATCTCAAAAACATACAATCATATAATACATTCTCTTTGCCTTTTCTTTCCTTTTAGGAAAGCCATTTTAATTCTGTGAGTTGTTAACTGTTGATTGGAACAAGCTCAATAATTTCAACACAAGTTGCCTTTGGAGTAACTGTCATTGTTCCTATCCATAAATCACTACTTGGTGTGATGTAAGATGCTAAGCACTGGGGCAAATCCAAGACAAATGCAGCCATATCCCTTCATTGACTTCTCTAATCTCGCTGCTCTCTAACTTGGGTGTTTGGCAATGGCTGGAATCAGATGCATACATCCACCTACTCATCCTTTTCTGTCCTTGCATATACTCATCCCTAGAAGACATTTTTACTTTTGGATCACCCTAATGTAATCTGGTTTTCGTTCCACATGCCTGTAATTCTAGCCTTTGAGAGCCAGAAGCAGAAGGCTTTCAAAACTACTCTGTCTCAAAATTCAAAATATAAGAAAGAAAACTCAACGTTAAAACATCACCCTGCATTAAAACCGCCCATATGAAACTTCCTCTGACATGCCTTCTATGCACACACTTTTCCTCCACCTGGTACCTCTGCTGTTGGACTTACCATGGACTATACTATGAAATGTTTATGCATAAATACTCTAGTAGATATTGGATATTTTTCTACCTAATGCTTGGCCCAATGCCTATAACTAAGAAATCAATAAATTGTTGAATTCATAAAACCAGGAAAATGGACAAAATACCCACAAATACTCTGTGGACTACAGTTAGATAAATTTGGACAATAGTGGAACTTAAAGCAGCATTAACACCAGCATAGGCAACCTTAAAACTTGATCAAAATGTGAGTTCTTGGCCTCAACTAAAAATCTATTGAGGCATATTTCAAGAGGGGATGCCAGCAATCCATTGTTAATAAGACCCCCTGGCTACTGATACATACAGCTTATACACATTGGCCTGAAAACAGAGAAGACAGGAACAGCTGTCTTAATGCAGCCTCTAAGAAAACCACACATGGGCTCCTGAGAGGTTCAGAAGGTAAAACCACTCACCACCAAGGCCCACAACCTGAATTGGATCCCTGAGAACCTCAGAATAAAAGTAAGAACTGACTCCTGAAAATTATCCTTTAACCTGCAATTAGATGCTGTGGCATACACCCTCCATCCCCATACATATACATACTGTAATAAAATTAAGTTCAAGGCCAATGATTTTTTCAGAAGCCATGTTTTCTGGTTTTCTGTGTTCACAGGTTGCTCACTGGTAGCAGTCTGAAATACTTCTTTTTCTGCTTCTCTACACTTCCATGCTGAAGTCTCTGGGATCATGCTTCTACTCTCAAATCTCTATTCACTCCTATTGTGTGTATTATTTGTATAATAGAAGCCATTTATTTCTCTAATACCAACTTATCTGAAAGCACCTTGTGTCAATGTGCCTTCTCAGTGCCCCTACTTAAATTCTTATTATAATATCACTTATCTTTACCATTCAACTCACAACTTTGTATTTGCACACATCACTTACATAACATCCCCAAATTCAGTGGCTTTAAATTGCATGCATTTATTATCTTATATCTTTGTGGACTAGACAGGAATCTGGGCTAGCTAAGATGGGGTCCATTTCCAGTACTGTAATCAGGACTCAACTGGAAAAGAATTAACTCCAAAACTCAATGAGCTATGAACACATTGTCTTCACAACTGTTGGGTTGAGGGTCTGAGTTGCTTGTTGTGTGAACCTGTCATCTATGACTGATATTGTCACTAAAACCAGCAAGAAAGACAGTATTCGAGAAGATGAAAGTCCCTGTTTCCTGCAAGCTACTCACAGTATCTCATCACCTTTTCCCTAATCTACACATTGGAAGTTAACCCTTTAGTGGATGTCACAATAAAGAAGAAAATTGATTACACAAGCTTCTGGATTAAGGAAATTGAAATCACAGGATACATTTCACAGCCCCGCCACCCACTGTCTTAATCATGTTTCATGTGGATAGATACAGGGCCATGAAAGAATTACTTTTCTCACTTTAAGACAAGCCTGCTAAAAGATGTAAGGCTTATAAGTTTTGTCAAACGTACCTAACTAGTCAGAGACTCATTCAGATTTGAACTTATTGGCTCTGAGCTATTCTGCCTGTGATCTCTGCATCTGTATGGTTGAGTTCTTATGCTGAGTCTATCATTCAGCCCTTAATGTTCACTTTTTCTTGTTACTATTTACCCTTTTATGGCTAAACCCATCATTGTGTTATTATCTTTAAATACCTAGTAACTTCAATGATCTCAGAAGCAACAGGCCTAAATATTTGCAAAATGCAGTTACTCGGTTTTAACACAGCAGTATCTCAATGTTAATTACTGTCACTGTTCACGTGACAAAATGATATGCAAGTAAATTAACAAACATCTGTTTTTGTCCCGATTCCTAGATTCCTCTGGGCCTCATTGTATTCATCTGTTAAATAAGATCATTGAAGTAGAGCCTTTATAAGGCTCTTCGGTTTATATAGCACAGCGAGATGCTGAGAGTGTGAAACAGACTCCAAGTTCCACTAAGTCTCCTTGCACCTCACACACCCTCTTCTGGTGAGGTATCCTGCACACTGAGACACATCCACCCCCAGGCTTTCTGAAATTATTTATCGAATCAACAGAATTTCAGGCAGATGGTTTCTATGTCCTTATGTCCGTTTGTTAAAAAAAAAATCTGGCATGTGAACTGAACAGGGAGATTAAAATCTAGCTCTTCCTTTGTATTGTTTCCAGTTTTCCCTTTCATCTCTTCCCTGCCTTTCCATTTACTAATATAGTGAACTGAGCGAGCATCAGCACTCAGGCCTGTCTTCATCACCACTGTGAACTGTCCTCTGAAATGCATATAAGTCAAATAAAGAATGATATATAATACAAAAGAGTTGCTATGGCATATATCCCTTGATATTTTTTCTATTTAATCTTTTAAACTATTTTCTCAGAGTCTTTACATGTTATCACTCCAAGCTGGCCATTTGTAATTAAAATAAAAATCAGTTTTAATAGACTCAACTCAGCCTCACTGAATAGATATGAGTTTCTGATTTTCCAAATTGATTTAGGGCTTTGTTGAATTTTATCAACTATTACACAGCTCATTTTTAGAAAAACTTATTAAACAAAAGTATATTTAGGAAGTCAGACTGTTGAGATATAAATCAATATAAATCTGAACGTGATGTCCACACAAGACTGTACCATTTACCTCAAGTATTATGTAGTATCACATAAACAGAGGCTTCTTATGCTTGAGTTGTTACCCACCTAGGCAGTCCAGGAAAAAAATTATCAAAGCACTGTCTGACTAGGGTGGTATAACATTCAAATGAAATCTAAGGTCAATAATTACAATTTTCTTCATACAGCAGATGCTAAATGATCACTGAATATCTGAAAAACAAAAGATGAGAAAATCAAACATCAAGGAATTTAGGATCTAAAGAACTGAGTGTATTGTGTTTTATTTCCAGATGTTTTTCTAGAGTGGCTACACAACTAGATATGAGAAACAAAGGGACTGAGGCTTTTCACTGAAGGAAATCAGCTAGATGCTATGCCATGTGGACTGCAGTGGAAGTTCATAACAGAAGCTGTTCCTTGTGAGCTCAGATGCCACTGGATCTTGGTGTTAGAAGTAGAGGGCAGTAAGTAAAGGTACTTGCCTATTAGTCAAAAGACTTGACCTTAATCGTCAGGACTTCTGCACATTTTCCTCTGATTTTCACATATTTGCTGTAGTATACACACACATACACACACACACACACACACACACACTAAATAATTAAAATTATGATAAGCTGAAAAACGGAAACAGAGAATCCACAAATACAGAATCTCAGTGGCAAAGTCACATGGTAGTGATTGTTTAAAAACAGGATAAAGGAATAAACAAATAAGACAAAAGAAACACAAATAAATACACATAAGGGATAAAAGTCTTTACCAAAGTTCATCCAAATGTTTCCCCTACCTGTGGAATGTATAAAATGTTCCCTTGAATAAAAAACAATCAAGGAAAGTTCTCCATTCTGGGCAATTCTGACAAAAAAAAATACAAATGCTAGTGTTTTAAGTAAGATTTGTTTTCCAGGGCTGCAATAATAATGAGGCCCAGACTCTATGACTTCATCAACAGAAACATATTCCCTTCACTTCTAGTGGCTGGAGATCTGAGAATAGAAGGGCTTATTTCTTCTCTCTTCCTGGTGTCCCCTGGGCCATATTCTCTCCTGCATCTTCACATACTCTTCCTTCAGGGAGTCCTGAACTCTTTTTATACATGAGACCTGCGATTCTGTATTGAGCCTACAATAATTTTTCTCAATAATGTTAAAGATTCTGTCCTAAAATGGAGTCATTTTCTGAGACAAAACATGTCAGGACTTCAGCATATGAATTGGAGGGGTGGAGACAATGTAGAATACACAGATATGCTCACATGGAGTTCACACAGAACGGTGTAATTATCCAACAGGAGAGTGAGCAAAGGGCCACATGAGAGATTTACAGGTGCCATGTAATTTCACAGATATAATCATGGAAAAATTTTAAAGCAAAATAGGTCCTTGTAAAGAAAACCCTGAGATGAAAAATGTAGTGTTAGAAAAGTATATTACTGATTTCTCTGTGTTCTTCAGAGTACCTGTGTTACTCAGGTAACTATAAATTCCCGCCTACTACACTTGGGGTCTGTTATGCATATTTACAGTAAATTGAAACAACCCCTACTACAGGGAAGAGAGGAGCTCATATGGCTCAGGAATCTCACAAAACTAAGAAAATTCGGAGAGCTCAGAAAATTGTGAGGTTCATAAAGCCTTTTCCCCAACCCAAGGTTATAAGAACAGTAAACAATTTCTGGGGAGAAGACACCGTCTTCAGTACAGCTACCAGTTAATTTTACAGTGAGATCCAGGGATGCAATTTCCATGACCCATCAACCATGAGATGAGGTTTGGTGATATAGCTATGGGAGAGACATGTAGGCTTCCATAAGGAACCCCAGAACCCCAATAAACTCAGGCTCACCAAGCTGGATGTGAGTAGTTTTTTTTTTTTTTTTCTAAATCTACCAATACTGCCCTATCTGGGATGAATACGCATTGGCTCATATTTCCCCAGGAAAAGTCACAGATGGAAACCTTAAGCACCCTGGATTTCACTAGGGAAAGCAAGTGTCTTCTCCAAAGACAACTTTGATAATTGGTGACAAAACCTGATTCACACTCAATGTTCTTTCTACAACCACTTAGTGCTTGAAAAAGAACACAATTCTGATGATTATGTTTTTTAAAACTTAATATTGTACTGGACTTCAAAATCTGTATTGCTTTGATATAGATAAACTCCACAGCTATAGGTGAAATATGAATGTATTATCTAGACCTGTACTGAAAGATATAGGATCTACTAACCATGTGTCTCTAAATAAATTTAAGTCACTAAATTTTAACCAACCTAAAAGTCTAGTTCTTCTGTTTTCCTGGCTATATTCCTAATACCTGAGTGCCAATATGTGGTTGGAAGCTACCACAGCAGATAGGACAGATATACAGATTTTAATTCTACAAGTTCTTTTGGACCATCCCAGTCCAGCATATTAGAGAAAGTATGTTAGCATTTCTTCCAGAAAGTCTTATGAAGCTTATTGGTAAAGAATGTTTTTTAAACAGCAGGTGACAGCTTATTTCTACTACAAACACACATGTTCAAAGCACAAAGAAGTCTCTCACAAAAAAACATTTGTTGCAAATTTCAACTTCATATTGGCCTTTATTTAAACAAAGTTCAACTTTTCTGGAAGGACAAAGTTATAAAGACACATTGATGATACTCCCTAATACAAATTTTGTTAGGTAATCTCAAATGACTCAATATCAATTCTACATTATTCCAAAAAGTCTTCATTTCTGAAGAAATTCTAAATTTTTCTTCCATACCTAAAATACTATGAATTTGCCTGAATGATAGTTTATCTCAGTGTTTAAGCACTGGTAAGGAATTCCTCTACCGGTCTATAAATTTTCAGACAAGAGCTTACAACTAAAGCTTTTCCTAAATTCACAAAAAAATGCATTATAATATGAAAACTACAAAATCAATCACCTTTACATTTCAGCAACAACAAATTTTGTGAGGTTATGGTTGTAGAGATGTGGATGAATATTTTGAGAGGTATTAGTGACATAGCAGCAGAGTTCTGGGTGGAATTTGCCTTAAGAAAAGGCTTGAAATCCCAGATGGAGTACATCTCAACAGTACTCCCACAAGCCGCAGAGAAGATTTTTCTAAACTACGAGAGTCCATAACTTCCCTGCAAACCTCTTAAATTAGAATCTCTGCTAGCAGAATATTAGTCTCCCCATTTTTATAAGCTCCTTGGATAATTCTTCTTCTACTAAAATTTAAGGCAATGTGAATTATGAAATAATGGAAAACCCATATGCTTGATGTATAGTCTGTAGGGAGGGATTATTAGTCATTCTGGCTATAACAGTTCTATACAAGGTGATGAAAAACATCATTTATAAAGCAGATAGCATTAAATGCTTTGTGGCTGTTTTCTTATTCTGAAACTGGAATACTGACAGTATTTTCAATTATAATTAGAAAGGCAGAAAATGCCTCACACCTCTGAACAGTTACCTAACCTGCATACACAATTACATGGTCTTCCTGAACATGTAGAAGAGAGAAAAACAACTTTTGACAGCCATTTTAACTCTTCTGATTTTAGAGCCTTTCTTTTATTATCTTGCATTTCTTTTCATTATAAAAATCAGATGGTAGAGAACTGTGCCATTAATGTATGGCTAATGAATGGAAGCTATACATGAAATACTAACAATAAGTAAAAGTCATCAGAATTTGAAAACAATTCTTTTAAAAAGGAAAGGTGGATGTCATGGGTCACTCCTGTAATTCCAGCATTTAGAAAGATGAGACAGAAAAATTACCATGAGTGCAAGGCCCCCTTGGGATATATAGTGATTTCTAGACCAGCTTATGCTACATAGTGAAACTCTACATAAAAAGAAAAATAGTAACACTATGATAATAATTATTCTAAAGATTTAAACTTTAAAAAAGGAAGAAGAATTATACTAAGATGTATCACTTGAGTTAACATCCAATGTTCCAAATCAATCTGTTGATTTTATTTAATATTTTGACAAATAATAGAAAGGAAAAGGAGAACAATTTATTTAATTAATAAAATTGATCTTGCCTGTTGATTATAATCTACAGAATACCTGGGAATTGAAAGGGAAATTATATATATATATATTTGTATGTGTATGTATATGTACATACATATACATAACAAACAACACACACACACACACACACACACACACACACACATATATATATATATATATGTCTTTTTATATCAAGAATTGAGAGGACAGCAGAAGAATTTAAAAGAATGTAAATGAATACAAGCAGGACTTTCCATAAGGCTAACTGAACACCTACTGTGTGCTTTGCACTTATCCATGCTCCTTTTATCTGTGCTAAGTTTACTTCATAAACTTAGTCATTGCAAACCTGAGCTTACATAGTACCAATGAGTCGGCTCAAAAGAAAACCCCAGAGAGTCTCTTTTACACCCTGAGATACTGCTGGTGTCTGAGTCACCATTTACTTTCCACCAGAGAGGGATGGAACCTGTACTTATAAACTACTTCCTCCTGCCTGCTAGATCATTTTACTTGGTAAGTGCCCACAGCGTTGCTGACACAGCCTGGAGACCCATGTGTAAAGCAGAGTGTTTTGTTCCTCTTTTTAGGAAGCAGGAGCCCTCTTCATCAGCCTATTGCTGTCTAAATAAAGTGAGATGGTGACAGGTGTAGGCTATGGGACTCAATCCACTCTTTTTTATCCTGGCAAGAGGATCCATCACCCATCTGAAAAGACATTCAGTCCCTGAAAACACGATTTTAATGCTTCATCAAAGTTCGAGGAAGCCTGAAGATGTTTTGGAAGTTAGCCAATTAGGTGTGTCTGGGGGGCATCTGCTCTCCCTTTCACTCAGCTAGCCTTCTCTGTCTGGATTCTTTCATCATTTGCTAAACAGGAGCAGATGAGCCCAAGGCAGCAAATAGGATCTAAAAAGAACAGCCTTGGCATCCTCTGAAAGCCAACTGCTTTACAGAGATGGCACATCAGAGAGTCTATCACATGCTGGACAGTTTATATTGAATGATATTAAGCACAGCCCTACAGAAAATAATGGGGATGACCAGAAAAAAAATATAAATCACCTTGAGGAAGAAAATAATATCTTCTCCAAGTCTGATATTCCACATCTCTCTCTTCTTTTTTTTTTTTTTGAAAATAGAATATTTTCTCAAACAATATATATCCTGATTGTGGTTTCCTCT